TCGTGGAAGATGCATCTGGCCAACACGGCCTGGCCCAGGCTGCATAGCTCGTGCTCCTTCGCATAGGAGCCACACCTGGTCCTGTGCAAGGCACATTAGTGGGCCTCACCAGACCGGGTCCTGCCGTGTGATTTGTGGAGGGGTTTGGGGGGGGGGCATTTGTGTGGCAGCCCTCGCTCGAGCCCCTCCACAAACCCACCCATAGACTGCACATCAGCCTCACTGACTCCTCACTTCCCTCAACCCGCCCCCCCGCCACTCCTCACACCCACCCACACCCATAAACTTACCCACATCCCTACTTACACATGACAGTGGCCAGGTCGTGATCCTTCCCACACTTCTGCTTGACACAGCATGCTAAGGGTTAATGACCCATGTGCTGGGACAGCAGGAGGAGCACCATAGAGACACTCTGGCCAGAAACCAGAGCATTTCTCTGGAGGACTGGCATGGTTAGGGGCCATGCCCTTGCCCTGCTTTTTTTCCCCATGTTTTATTTTGATACCTAGATATCCAGGTATCAAATTTTGAGCCTGCACTGCAAATATGCACCACAGGGAAAATTTTTATGATCCCAGCGTGCATCTTGCAGCATCTCAAACTCCTTTTGGGGCAACTCTGCTGTACTGCTTATATAATTAAGGGTTTTTTAATTTTATCCCCAAAACGTTTGAGGTACCTTTTTAAAACAAAATTATTTCAACCTTGTTTCTATTGAGTTATTCTCAGTAAACATAAATGTTGCATTTTTTCTTCCCCAATAAACAAAGGGAAGAGTGAACCGGGCATGTAGCAGACATGGCTATAAAATTGTTAAAGTACATATTTTGATGTATTGAAAATTACCCTTGTTTATTTAAAGTCTTTCATCTGTAGATGTGTGTCTGATTCAGCTTGGCTCAATAGCACCGTTGTCATCTACTACTGTTTTGTTCAATATGAAATGAGTAACCATCTCAATACAGTCCCTGTGAGGAAAGTGTCTATATTGCCCAAAATTATTCATATAGTTGATGTTTACTGGCCACCTCACTTGCGCCTCCTAAAATGAACCAAATAGTGGATGGGACTGGACTTCTCATCCTACAGATTAGGTTGAGATACTCTTCTGGCAATGTGGGAAAATTTGCACTATGTGGAGGGCTTCAGTCTCTACTGCTCTCAATTTATTATCTTACCTTGCCAGAACTAGAGTGGGGCATGTGCTAAGTTTGCTCTATTTTCACTCCTTGTTTGACATTCAGTGTAAATATGAACCTCTTTCACCTTTCAGACTACTTTTTCCCTGAAAATCAATCTTATTGGTTTTATTTTGCTTTGTGTTTTGCAAGTTTTTTATGCAATGAGGGTTTTGTTAGGTTGTACTTACCCCAAGTAAATGCTGGTGTTTTTAAAGCTTCTATTTTTACTGATTTCTCTGAGGTCACTAAATCTATCCTGCCTTACAACTCGGTGGCTCTGTAACACTGCTTGGTAGTCTGTACGTTTAGCAAGAATTAGCAGTGTTCCAGAATAGCTTCTGTACATCATTTTAGTGAAGGGACATGCTTTTAGGATGTGACTCTTCTTGATTGGGTTGAGTCTGTGGGCTAAAAAATGGCTTTTTTGCCCATGTATTGTAAAGGTGTTAAATTTCAGGAAGACGGGTAACACACAATGAAAAAAGATGCATTATATTAAGTTGGAAGCTGTACTGAAGTAAAGGATGAGCAGTTAAGTAATTGTGCATGTGTGTTACTCTCTTTTGTTTCAGCTGTAGCCTTAAACTTGGAAATATACTGAAACTTGTGTTTTTTGTTTATCAGACTGGTTAACCTAGTGGAACACATGTTGCTTTCCTTAACAATGTGAATCTTCATATCAGTGAGACTTTGCATCCTACTCATTACCTTGTGCTCCCTCTCCTGGCTGTTAAGGATTATGCACTGAGTAGCTGCTTGTCTGCTTTTCCCCCCTCTCTCTCAGATTTTAACAATTGTTACCTAGTTCATTGGGGGGGGGGGTAATTTCCTTAAAAATGTCCCTCAAAATTGGTCAGGTAATGAATTTCTCAATCTTACCAGGTATGCTATAGAGTTGTAATGCAGCTGTGCGGACTTTGGGGCCATCCTGTTCAGGCAGTGAGAGTCCTTTTTGAAATGAAAAATGCTGGAATACAACCAAATGCGATCACCTATGGTTATTATAACAAGGTAAGGGAACTCTTGATGGAAAGGATATAAGCAGTCTTAGTTGCTGCTGCCTTCTCTTCCTGTAGTGCATCCTGGAGGTAGGTTTTGAGAAATCTTCATTTAGATTTTTTTTTTTGTTCTGTTCATTGTCTGGCTACCTCAAAAATATCTGCTGGGTGCACTTAGTTTATTTCCACAGCATCATACATTTTTAATTTGAAGAAAATTCTGTATTTCTATGTAAATATGTTTTACATTTCTCTGTCTAGCTTATTCTAGTGAAATGTACAACTTCAGTACTTTACAACAGTGTGTGTGGGGGGGTGGGGTGGGGATATGGCAGTAAATAAAAGAATGAAAACATTAAAGAAGGTGGGATTAAGGTATGGTGGAGTAATCTCCCTCCCCTTTCCTCGTAACATTACAGTGTAAAATTGGTTTGCAGTTTTATAGACACCAGTCTGCTGACTGAACTTTGTGGCAAGCAATTTAAATTACTAATCTTTGTTAATCTAAAGGGCACAGGTATGAGACTTCAAAAGCTGCACACAAGCTCAGAGGGAATTGCCACGTACAGCTAAACTCCTCCAACTAATGCTAATGGGAGCAGAGATTTTACTGGAACCCTCTTCTCCTACCCCTTCCCCCCCAAAAAAATTATAAATAAGAAACATTTATCTTAGAATGTAATTTAAACGATATGTTTCAGGGGCATGGGCTCCTAAAAAGGAAAAAACAAAAGCAAGCCTGAATGTTTCTTCTTTTCCTCTTAAATCACTACTGTTTTCATTTCAGAGATTAAAAAGGAAAATGTATTGGCAAAGCAGTTGTTACCACAATGCCTTTCTTTCTGTAGGCAGTTCTGGAGAGCCCATGGCCCAGCAGTAACCGCAGTGGTATATTTCTGTGGACAAAGGTACGGAATGTGGTCCGTGGCATGGCACGATTTAGGCAGTGCCTAAAAAAAGCAACACGGAGTTCACAGGTCCCGGTGATACCAGGTAATATATGCATAGTGATTGAAATGGGCCACTTCTGCAGAACTAGAGTAAGGCATGTGCTAAGTTGATGGCAGCCAGCAATATATGATACTGGATGTATGCATTTTCTAAATTCTCTCAAATGAGAGCTGGGCTGAAGTGCATTAAAAATGGCCTGTTCCTAAACTGGTATCTAAGGTGGCATGAGGATTGAAGACTAAAATAAGACTAAAATGTCTTGACTTATTTCATATCTATGTTGTATTCATGTGACTGTAAGTAATTTGTGGTCTGAAGAGGTTAGGTTTATTTCAAGTTTCATCAGTTTTCAAATTCTCCCCTACTGACCAGCTTTCTTTCATGTCTCTAGTTCCACGGAATGCCATGGGTGGAAGTGATGGGGACACGGTGAGCCATGGTAGCGTGGATAGTTCTAATGATGCTAACAGTGGGGAGCACACACTCTTCGTCAGAAACTTAGTCAGGCTTGATTCCATTGATAATCACTGTAGCACAGGTACTAGATTATGTTGGAATTGACTACTAACAATCCCACCATCAACAAACACTTCTCCAATCTCCTGCTATATTTTTCCCCCTTTAAACATTTTCTCCTTCCTTCTGAGGCTGTGTGATATTATGAATGGCTGAATCACTTTACTGTTGATGAAGTAATATACTTGAAGAAGAAGAAAAAATGTACTATTGCTGAATGATACTTTCTTTACATTTCTGTGCTCCATCCTTAGTGTAGAACAAACCATGGCAAAAACACTAACTTTTAGAACTTTTTTTTTGTAATTGTACCACTGATAAACATATCTTTATTTGATACCACTTGATACGTACCACTGATAAAGCAGTCATATCTTGATTTTTGCCAGATTTTGAGAAGTCTCACAGCCCTCTCCTCAGAGGCGTTTACAGTTTATGCCTGCTCTTACTTGTGTACCGAAGTGATAGTTTATATGAGTTTACATGCAGTTTGTTTTACTCATTTGTGCTTACAAATAAGGGTGCAAAAGTTGCTCACATACATAATTTGAACATAATGGCTTACAGTTATGGTCCTTAATAATAATTGGTAGAAGTAATTGCATTTCTTGAATTTAGTGTGCACACTAATTACTATTGCACGTTTTTTCAAATTACCCTTTGCAAACAGGTACCAGGACTTGCAAAATTTGGGAATAAAAAGTGGAAATGAATCAAGCCTGCCATACATAGTCTGTGGGAGAGACCTGGTAATGGGAAAATGATTGACTAGGTCTGCACCAAAATTGCACTCTTAAAAATCAGAGTAAAATAGTGTACTTCAAAGAAATTGTTAGAGGTGTTAGGAAGGAGTTCACTGTTCTTATCTACTGTAGATCTGATTATATTCCACTTGTGTACAGTCTCTCAACTAAACTTCCTATATATTCATGCACCACAAATCTTATGATGTCAGTGGTTGTTGCATACCTTTCACTTTAATATCTTGAATGCTGCTTTTAAAGAGTACTGTAAGTCTAATTCCTGTTTCATCTGATGTGCTTGTCTAGATGACTGAACTTTCCTTCTTCCTGCTCTTTTACTTTGCTTCTTGCTCTCTGCTGTCTCTTGGTGCTGCATTTGTCCTTGGCTATCATGGTGTGGGGTGCAGACTTATATGGCGGGAAGCCTTCGATACACGCGTGCATTAATACTCCCTTTGAATGTTACTGATGCAGGTAAATTTCCATTTATTGATAGGGTATTTTCACTATTGGTCAAAGGAGGGGGAGAGGCTTCTACACGGTTAAAGTAATGATAGGAGAAAATAACGGTCAAATGTTTTGTCAAAATGTTTTTAATAAATTGCTTACAGCTGTAACCAAATGCATTGTTAACTGGTTAAGCATCTCTATCTAATTTAGTCTTACTTTGCATGTATACTCTAAGGAGATAAAGAGATAGCTGTAGTCTTTTATATCTGCCCAGCTAACTCTCTCTCATCTAGGGTGCAAAACACTTATCATTTGGCTTTAACTTTTGGGAAGTGATATTAAACTTATTAGGTTTGGCATTTGACAGTGGTTACATTGTATTTCCATTTTTTTACATACTTAAAGAGAGAATTTTTGGTAGATAGAGGAAATGGGTCTTAGCATGCTGTATACTGCTCTGTGGACTAAGCCCCATATATGATCTTTTATAATGGTTTATGTTCTGACAGAGTACAGATTCTTTATGGAGTCAGAAGGTTGAGTGAGTTACCAATTTGTCTATGTTCACTAGCTTATAGTTAATAAGCAATTAAGTAATAAAATGGGAATTGTGAGAGAGAGATAAAAGGCTCCTTTTTATTCTATTTGAAAGTCTATTTTCTTTGTTTTGTCAAGTTGTTTAAACTAAATCAGTGGAGCAAAAAAATTCAAAGTAGCTTAGGCAGATTAAGAGCTGCATTCACTAATGGAAGTTAACAGTATAGTATTTCTGAATTTATGCAAATATCTTACCTAACAATGGTATGAAATATTACTTTTTCCCAGGAGAGAAGAAAGATGAATGAGCAGAGGGAATTCAGTAGTAATTTTCCTGGTTTATGTGAAATTTAGTCCCTCGTCCATTGAGACTGTGCCTACCAAAGGCTACCAGTGGGGATGAACTGTAGTGTAATGTTGCAATTAGACTGTTAAAGTAGGTTTTTGTATTTCTGTCCCTACTGTCATTCTTTCACTGTCGCAAAGTTTAATATTCTGTGTGTGCATTAGATGATCTTCTTAATCTGAAACTTTTTTTCAAAACCTTGTTGTAGACTTGCTCTAAAATATTTTCTAAAATAATAGCATGTGCAACAGATCTGCAAATTTAAAAATGGAAACCTGTTAGACTATTTGTATTCCTTTCCCAGGTGGTCAGTCAGACCAGGGGTATGGATCCAAGGATGAACTTGTACGGGAGGATGGATATAGGCTTCGTACAAATGGGACACTAATGGGAAAAAAATTTTCTAAAACTGAAGACTTGACAAAAGGTTAAGTGTTTAGTTTTTTTACTGAAGGTTTCTTTTACCTTTTACAAAGCCATGTAATCACTTAAAATTCCCTAGACTGGTTGCCACACAATTACTATTGTGGTTTACAAACTGTTGTTTCTTGGCTCACTGGGTGCATACACACATACTAACTTTCTGACAGTTAAGCCGATTGAACGGTTGAAGCATACACACGTATGTGTAGCAGAGTAAACTTAAATGCGGCGCAAGATAATAAGGTGCATTATTTGAGTCACATTAGTTAAGTTGACTTAGCTCACAAGATGGCTACAAGCATAGAGGTGTACATGTGTGTGCTCCAGTGTGGCTTATTGTAAGTCTCCTTGGGCACTTTTACACATGCTTCAGGGGTGTGGGGGACTGTGCTTGAATTAGAGCGGCTCTGAAAGCCAGTCTAATTAAAGCACCACTGCATCTCATTTATCAATGTCCTCACTCTTAAAAATGGTGGAGGGGCACTTGAACTAAAGCTCATTTGACAAGCTTTAGTTCAAGTGTCCTCGCTGCCATTTTTAAGCATGAGGATGCTGAAACACAAGACACAGGAGGCTGCTGGAGCACAGTAATTGCCAGCAGATTCGATTAATTGAGCCTGCTTCAACATGCTGGAATTCCAGTGCTTCAGAGCAGCTTTCCTGCTCATGTATAGCCACCCCTTATTTTAAGTCACCTTAGTACATCTGTACACACTCACTTTTTCTTGTTCTTCATATCCCGTGTCAGCCTAGTTCATTTAGATTTAGCTTTGTAAGTGCAGAGCCTGCCTCTTAATATGTATCTCTTTGTGAGCCTAAATCTCCCTTGGAAGATGTAGTGTTGTCATAATATAAATAACAAAGCTACCACAAAGTGACTTAGTGGTTAATTGTGATAATGCTTCTCACTAGCTCCTTGTCTTATAATGCTACTTTCACTAGCTTCTTCTCTTGTGCATAAGTTTGTGTATCTGGTTGAAGCCTACCATGATTGGCTTAGTGGTAGGAGTGTTTTCATGTCACACTTGGGTATTTTAGTTGAGTTGTATCATTGTTCCTTTGAATCATGGTTGTTCTTGCCTAAGCTATGAGCAGTAATACCAAAGGACAATAATGAGAGAAAACCCTAAATACTTTGTGTGTTCATTATTTTTATGGGTCCTGTTATTAGTTTACTTTAGAAATTCTCCTGGAAGAAACATATTAACTTTTTTCTTTGTTCCAGTGCATAGAATGTAAGTGGTCCAAAACTTGTGTGCATTCTTGGCTGTGAAGCAGCCAGTACCATTTTTAACATATACCCATTTAAATAAATCCATGCACAAAAGTGTGAAAATGTTTATGCACCTAGTGTCCTGTAGTATTTCTTTCACATGCGGAAAATTATGATTAAAAAACAGCTTTTATAGAACCCAGTCCTGCAGACTGCTGAGCACTTCCAATATAGTGCTGAGTGTCAGCATCTTTCGTGAACAAGACTGAATTCATAGGTAGTGTGTTAGGGAGGGAACAGTTTGTCTAAAGTGTATCACCCCAATCAATACAGATCAAGCTATTTGCTTAGGCAGAATAATGAAAACTGAGCTTTTCATTTCTTAGAGGTCTGTGTTGCGGATGACTCTGGTGAAAAGCAGCAGCTGAATACAGAACTTCACAGTATGACAGAGCCACCCATCTGGGGAAACAGTATTGTGAAAGTTCCATCTGGCATTTTTGATGGCACTGGCAGAAAAAGCAGTGGTGGTAAGTCACTGGAGTGCATTGTTCATAATGATTCGTGTTGCTTGCCGATGTTTCCCATGAGATATACAACGTACTTGAAACCTGACAAGGTGGTCCTAGGGAGAGGGCAGGGCAGTCAGAATTCAAAGGGATTACTGGTTCTGCCACTGATTGGCTGTATAGAATGGAGTATATATTTGATTTCCCTTGTTAATTAGGAGATTTTATGCCTAGGAATCACTATGTAGGCACCAAGCATAGTATCTCATATAGTCTTACTACCTTCTGCTGCTGCACTCTTACCTCATGTGATGAGTAAGGAAACTGGTGACTTTTAGAAAAGAGGATGGAACCAGTGTGAGTCTGAGACACCCAGATCTAAACAGTTTTGTCACCTGATGGAATCTGATGAAACAAAATTACAAAGTTTGTTAAGCAATGATAAGATGATTTGAGTGATAAGTAGTATTTGTGGATATCATAATTTAGGTAGAAGGTACTTTAGCAGTGTTCAGACTTGGTGCTTGCATTGCAAAAGTAGCTTCAGGCATAAACTAAACCAAGGGCTGCCCTAGGAGGAACTGGAATGGCTCTGGGAATCTCATTATTAGTATCTGACAGGCCAATCCTGAAGTATCACCCTGTAGATATGACAGGCTAGTCTGTACAGGTGTGCATTCTGCTCTTGCTGACATGCACTGAGCACATGTAGAACTTAAATGTACCACAGAACTGTTGCTATGGCTGTACAGTGCTGTCCTAGAAGCAGTGCCACAGGAAATGCAAAAAAAGTGTAGATGTTGGCAAAAAACTGAGCAGAAGGATGATCTTGTTTGTGGGGAAAAATATTATCCAAGGAGCATGAAATGGGTTCTTGAATTTGGGGGAGAGAGAAAGTGACAAATTCCCATCTTTGCTCTGGGTCTGAGGGTGCTATTCAGACTAATACTAAACAAAGCAATAATTTTAATCTTTCCACAGATATCTTGTGACTCAACATTATCTTTGCAGGGTTGCTCTCAAGTAGACTTACTACTTTTTCATTAGGAAACTTGTAAAATGTTGAAAATAGTGCAGACAATCTGACTTTTACTTGGGCCCCTGCCACATGTTACACTTGAAATGTCACACCTTAAGTTGTAACGTGGCTACACATTAAAACAGTTAACGGCATCATAAAGCAAGGAATAAGCCACAATATTGTTCCACAAAAAATGTATAATAACTTTGTGACTGGTTCCTATGACAACATTAATCAAACTTGTGGCCAGGTGCACCACCCCTACAGCTGGGAGCTCCCAACCACGGAGACAGACCATGCACCACTGAGGTTGGGAGCCTGCAGCTGATGTGGCTCCCAGCATGGGGGCACAGGATGTCCTCCCATGGCTGGAAGCCCCACCAACTGATCTGGGCTCCCAGCTGTGGGGGTGCACCATGTACTGGCAAAAAGGAATGATGAGATCTAATGTGTAGTCCATCACACCTCCTGCCATGCACATGTGTCATGGCAGGAAGCATGAGTGTATGGATTGTGCATTAGATCCTATTGTGCCTTTACCTGCAAATCTGGCAAGGGCCTTAGAAGACTAGTTTCAGTCCGTGTTGGTGGTAATGGGATATCATGTTAATAGCCACCTGCTTTCTTTTTAGGAACTGCATCTACCCTACTCTTCATGGCTCAGGATTCCATTGAAGATTCAGTCTTTGATGATGCTTCTCCCAGGAAAACAAGTGAAAAAGGACAAAAGAGACAGAAACTTTTTTCAGAGAGGAGCTGCAGTTTTAGCAGTGAAAGCAGAGCAGGTATGCTGTTGAAGAAAAGCAGTTTGGACTTGATTTCTAGTGAAATTGCAATAATGATGGGAGCAGATGCCAAGATTCTCACAGCTGCTTTATCTGGGACCAAAATATCACCTACACATACTGTTAAATCCCTTAACTTTGACAGTATGGGTGACCAGCAGGTCCCTGGGCTGAGTGGTAATAGGACTCATATGAATAAAGGTACTTGGGAATTGGAACATAGGTCATCACCAGTGATGGAGGAGCCTGAGGAAGGGCCAGAACACCTTGAGAATGGAAGTGATGACAATGCAGACAAAGCAGAAAACCACCTTACCAAACTGCTGGCTGGTAATCAGTCCACAAATGGGAAAATGGAACCCAAAGATGCAGTGAATAAAAGGAATAGCTTGTATGGAGTTGTTAAGCCTGTAGAAAGGGAAGATGTTGAAGTGGGCTCGGATCCTTTGTCTCTGCTGGCTACTGAAAGCATAGAGCCAAAATGCTCAGAGACTGAGGAAAAGACGACACCAGTTGTATCGCGTTATCTGGCTGATGAAATAGAAAGCTACATGAACCTTAAAAGCCCTGTTGGTAGCAAATTTCCCAGCATGGAGTTACACAAGGAAGAGAGCAGAAAAACAACAGTATCTAGTACACTTGATCACTCCCAAGACAAGAGATCAAGCCTACCTTCAGATTCCATTCCACCAGTTCCAGATCAACATGAAAGTAGGAAGAGCCCTTCAGTTTCCAGGTCCAAAACCTTTGCTGGGCGACCAAAACAACCGTCCCGTTCACGAGCGCAGAAGGAACGGTCTTCATCTGTAACGGGGCTGGGTCATTCTCCTCAGCATGGCTCACTGGGGTCTGTGGTTACGACTTTATCCAGTCTGAAGTTAGATAACATACTTTCTGGACCGAAAATAGACGTTCTGAAGTCAGGCATGAAACAAGCAGCTAACGTAGCCAGTAAGATGTGGGGAGCTGTAACCTCAGCCTACAACTACGCAGAAGATGAGGCAAGTATATATTCTTATGTGTTATTGTTGTAGATTTGGGGGGGAGGGCTGTCCTTTTTATTTCTTGTATATTTTTTGTGTTATGGCTCTTATTTAGGGGGCTGTTTTGTATTTGCTTGGGTTTGGGGGGAGTTGTTTGCTTGTTTCTGATTTAGTGAAAATGTGTTTTAAATGTTCTTAAACAACTGAGAGAGAACATTTTGGCTTATCTTCAGCCACTGTTAGTAATATTTAACTTGCATCACTTATCAGAAAGCATCATGAAACCAGAGCACAAACTATATTAGAAGTTTACTTGATGCAGTACAGGTTTCCCTCAATTTATGCAGATTCTT